TGATCGCTTTCCCGCTAGCGAGCGCTCACGCAAGCGGGCGGCGCAAGGAACGGGGGAGTCGGCCCTGTCGCTCGCTCGCCCGAGCAGGCCAGCGAGATGGCTGGGCGGGTCGGGTCGGGCGGGCGGGACATTGAAAGCGCGGCGATCGCTGGCGCGCTCGCTCGCTCGCTCGCCCGACCAAACGATCGAGCGAGCGAGCCGGGTGGGCGGATCGGACAGGCGGGGCATCACATGCACGGTGCCCGCTTGCTCGCACGCGCGCTCGCTCGCCCGCTCAAAAGGGCGCGCGGCGGGGGCGCGAGCGAGTCGGGAGGTTCGGCGCGGGCGGGCGGGGCGCTGAACGCACGGTGCCCGCTCGCTCGCTCGCTAGCTGCTACAAGCATGCGAGCGAGAGACCGAGGGGGCGGGGAAGTCGGCCCTCTCGCTCGCTCGCCCGAGCAAGCGAGCGGGGGGGGCGGCCGGGTCGGGTCGGGCGGAAGGGGCATTGACGCGCGAGATCGCCGGCGCGCTCGCTTGCTCGCTAGCTCGACCAAGCGAGCGAGCGAGCGAGCGAGTCGGGCGGGCGGGTCGGTCAGGCGGGGCACTATATGCACGGCGCTCGCTTGCTCGCTCGCACGCTCGCTGGCATCCCCACGGAAGCGCGCGGGGGCGCGAGCGTGTCGGGCGGCTCGGCCCAGGCGGGCGGGACATTGAATGCGCGGCGCTCGCTTGCTCGCTCGCACGCGAGCTGGCGCAGGCATGCCCGCGAGCGAACGAGGGAAGCAATGAGTCCGGCCTCTCGCTCGCACGCTCGCTCGCTCGCTCGGGCGAGCGAGCAAGAGAGAGAGCCGGGCGGGTCGGGCCAGGCGAGCGGGAGATTAAATCCTCGGCGATCGCATGCTCGCTCGCTCGCTTGCCCGCTCGAGTTAGCGCGCGAGCGCGCGAGCGAGCCGTCGTCGTCGTCGTCGTCATCACTGTCGCTGCCCGACGGCGACAGCGCAGGCGCCGGCGCTCGCCGTCGCCGGTCGCAGGGGGCGGGGGCCAGTTCGACCCCCCACCCAAGAAAGGAATCGATGAGAGGGCGGGCTGGTTCGACCCCCCCCCCCGCGAAACAGGGGGGGGCCTGCTCGAACCTCAAACACCCCCCTCACCCCCCCCGCGCCTGACGGGGGGGGGAGGGAGGGGGGCGACCCCCGCTTCGAACCCGCCCCCCCTTGTGGGAAGGGGCGGGGGGGCGCGCCAGGTCAAGCCCCCTCTTCCCTGCGCCCGCAGAACGCGCTTTCTAACGTTGCTAGAAAGCGCCCCCACTCGGACTTGCGACGCCACATTCACTTCACTGAAGTCGTCGGGCACACCTGGGACCTCCATCTTGTTTGATTGCACAGCTTGTTGTTAAAACTGTGAAGTCGTCTGTTTCCTGCCGAAAGGTCGCCCGATGTCCACTTCGGCGCCTCATCGGGTACATGAGGATATCCATCTTGTTGGGTTGAACCGCTTGTTGTTAAAACTGCGAAAACGTCTGTTCCCCAGCAATGGGAGAGCGCCATTAACCCAAGGATCGGCCCCTTTCGTTTTACACCCACCAGTCGCGGCCGTGATCAAGGTGATTCAGCATGGCCCCCCACTGCAAATCATTCGGCCCCCCTCAAGGAGGGGGCCCAAAGCCGGGAGCTCTAGAATGCACGCTGCTAAGAGGGCGAAGACACACGAGGCCCCTCGAAACGCAACGTCGCCACGGGCACGAGCGAGCGAACATCCGATGCCCCGGGGCTGCTGGCTGACCGCTGTCGCAGCCTCCGTGCTGGATCACATGGAATCTCGCCGTGATCCACGACAGGCATGATTATCTTGGCCTTCTACTGTGGCTGAGACTCGCCCTGGTTCTGGTTCTGCCGCTCAGTCTGACCCATAGACTCCCAAGGCGAACCTAGCGAAGGGCCCTCTGGGCTGGCAGGCGTAGTCGACGGACCTGAGGCGGCGGCGTTGACCTGCTTGCGTTCCGGATTCCGCCCGCGCGCGGCCCACGTCGAAGGGTCGCCCGCTTTCCACTTCGGCGTCTCATCGGGTACATTTGGGATATCCATGTTGTTGGGTTGAACCGCTTGTTGTTAGAACTGCGAAATCGCCTGTTCCCCAGCAATAGGAGAGCGCCATTCACCCAAGGATCGGCCCCTTTCGTTCTGCTCCCACCAGTCGCGAATTACTCAACATCCCACTGCAAATCACTCGGCCCCCCTCAAGGAGGGAGGCCGAAGCCCGGAGATTTAGGACGCACGCTGCTCGGAAGGCGAAGGCAACACGAGGTCTCTCGAAAGGCGACGTCGCCATGGGCATGAGTGGGCACACTTCCGACGCTTCGGGGCTGCTGGCTGACCGCTGTCGTAGCCTCCTTGCTGGATCAAGTGAACTCTCGCCGTGGTCCACGACAGGCATGATGATTGTGACCTTTTTCTCTGGATGAAACTCGCCCTGGCGCTGGCCATGCCTCTCAGTCTGGCCCGTGGACCCCCAAGGCGATCCCAGCGAAGTGCTCTCTGTGCTGGCTGGCGTAGTCGACGTGCCTTCGGCGGCGGCGTTGACCTGTTTGCGTTTCGGATTCCATCCGCGTGAGATCCACGTCGAAGCGTCACCCTCTTTTCACTTCGGCGTCTAGTCCATCCGACCCATGTCGATTGGCCATCTGCTTCCGACTGTCCGACCCAGCCGTGAGCCTCCCACGCCATGGGCCGTTCGGGCATAGCTTCGCCTTGGTCGTTTTCTCTGGGCTGTCCAATCTCAACTGCTCGGCTGCCTCCACCGCCGCCTGGCCGCTCACCGGCTGCAGATCTCCTCGTGGTCGCACTGCGTCTCGTCAAGCTGCCTCTTCTCGCAGTCTCTCTCGCAAGGCAACGGCCACGACTTTGGGCGGTCTGAGAGCCAGCCCCTGACGAACTGCTGGATGGCGACGCCGACCACTGTGAGCTGGTGCCTGAAGATCCCAATGCCCTCGGGCCTTTCCATATCCTTGTGCACGTCGCTACGATAGAGGGACCCCATCGCCAGTTGCGGGTGCCGTTCGTTTTCGCAGGGCGTCGTAGACTTGGGCGGTCTACGTTGGCCCGTTGGGGGCCCGTCGACACAAGTTTCAGGGCCCCCAAGTGTAACCTGGTCAACTTCGTTCGCCATGCGCGCGGCCAGTTCTCGCCGTAAAATGTGGCAGAAGGGAGAGGAGAGGGGAGCCAGCGCTGGTGGGTTCGTACGTAGATCACGCGTTTGACATGGTAGCAGTTATAAATGCAAGTGTCGTGGTAGATGTGTTTCCTTTCGCCTCTGACTCTCTCAATGTGCTCTCTCTCTCTCTCTCGCTCTCTCTCTCTCTCTCTCGCTCTCTCTCTCTCTCGTTTTCTCTCTCTCTCTCTTTCTCTCTCTCTCTCTCTCTCTCTCTCTCTCTCTCTCCCTTTCTCTTTATAGTTCTCTTTTTTTTTGTCTCTCTCTCTCTCTCTCTTTCTCTTTCTTTGTGTATGAATACGTGTCTACAAAAATATGTATATGTGTATGTTGTCGCGTCGCTGTTCCACCTGACCCGATGCATCCATATAGTAATCCCATTGTGTCGGTATTCCTGTAACCGTATCGCTAGTTCACACACGCATATGTGTCTCACGTCCATTTTGCTAACAGGCTTCACTGTTGTAGTTATTCGGGGCGTTTGATGGTTCATTGACTTCATCCTCTTCCCGACTCACCGTCGCGGGTGCCTCATCGGGCCCGCTGGACTGGGGCTCTCTGGCAGGTAATGCTGGGCGCTTGCGCTGCTGCTGCCGACGGCTGCCTGCTGCTCGAGGCTCAACGGTTCATCCTCGTGGACTGGCCATGGAACTGTGTCTCCACCGCCCGTCCAACACTGTCGTCGGGCCCTGCCCTCGCCCCAGTGCCCACCCCGCGCCCACCACGATGTACGCCAGGGCCTGCTTCAAAGACAGCGGAGAGGTTAGCCGTCTATCTCCTCGAAGGTCTCGTGGGACAGGCTCGCGCTGAGGGCGACCATCGGGTGCGGCAGCGGGTTGATGGCGTAGCTGACACTGTCGTCCGCTCAGCTGTTCGGTTCGTGCGCCCCCATCGCCTTGCACATCCGTACCCTCTCTACTACGACATGCATTCCATCCTCGATGATCGCAAAACTGTGCCATCTCTCCTGGATGCCCCTGCTCCAGTACAAACACCGCTCGGTCATCCCATCTGTGATCGCCTTCTGTTTGGTGAACTCGATAACTGCTGTGACCAGAGCTAGCATAACGTGAGCGCGTGGGGGTCCGAGTTTATGCCCGTTGCATGCTGCTCTGCCCTGCGTACCGTAATCCTTGCCGGACTGCAGCGCGCACGTGAACGGCAACGCTGCACTTAGCACGAGCCAAAAAACATGGTTCGCCGCGATCACTTCTCTGATGTAGCGCGCGCTCCTCAAGCTCAATCGCTGCAAACTGTTCAAAGTCATGGTGTCATCATGCGGGCCTGTTTCCTGTCGATATCCCCCTCCTTGGTCGTGCGGTGGGCGCCCGCCTCCTGAGCTGGACGCTGCCGACCCTTTTCGTAAGACCCTTGCGTCCAGGACCCCCTGGATCGTCTTCTTGCGGTCTCCTTCTTCCCTCCAGGCTGTTGTTCTGCTCCTCTTTTGCCCCAAGTCGGTGCCGGCAGCTGTGGGAGGTTTATCGGTGCCTTTTTGGGCATCTACCACTGAGTTGGGCCCCACGTGATGACAGCGTGCGTGCAAACTGCCTTTAGCGTTTATGCTTCATGTCGACAGACTTTACAAAAGAAGTCAGAAGACTCTATGAGTTCGTGTGCCCATCTGCTTCGATCTCTGTGGCAACGCGCCCGTCCGCCGAGGGAAGAGGAGGAGGAGGAGGAACAGCAGGAGGAGGAGGAAAACGAAGGAGGAGGAAGAGAGAGGGAGAGGGAGAAGGGAGAAAGGGAGGAAGCGAGGATGGAGCGACAACGGGCAGGGGAGGGAGGAAAGGGGCAGCGCGTACCGCCCGTCCTGCTCCCCAATATGGGGGCTTCGGCGGCACGGGGCCGTGCTTGGTGGCGGGCTCAGACGACGTCGTGACGAGCTCCGTCGCGTCCGCCCTGCCCGGGGCGCGGCCAGCAGTGCCCCCTCCTCCTCCTCTGGGACCGGCCCAGGGGGGGGGGACATCGAGCTCGAGTCGGCGATACGTCCCCCATATATCGGCGACACACCCCCGAGAACGAACACGAGCGTTCCTGGAAGAGCGGGCTACATCGAGCCCCCATCGGCGGTGCCAGGGCGATTGGGCGCCGGTGCATCCCGCCTGGAGACCATCCGCCCCTAGCGTTGCCCCTGACCTCCTCATCCTCCTCCTCCTTTTTTTCCCCTTTCGACCGCATGCCGCCAGCGGTTGTCTACCCGCCGCGGGCCCCCCGGGCAGACACGGGAGAGCTTTAAAGGATATATAGGGCTGTCCCCGGCGGACTGCCAACGACTCAGCGCCCCTCGCAGCCCGCCCGTGGGACACCCCATGGCGCGGGACATGCGGGGAGTGCGCTGGACGCCCGCCGGGGGCTGCGCACTCTTCTCCTGGGCCTCCGTCTGGGTCACCATGATATGGGACGGGCAAAGGGCCAGGGGCCGCGGGAGGGGACCATGGGGAGAGGCCGCCGCCGCGGGGCCGGCGCTGTGCAAGTCGCCCCGTGGCAGCCGCGTACCCCCAAGATCCCCTACCTCCAGGCTTCCAAACTGCCCCGGGCCGCCCCCCGCGGGCCCGCGCGGGACGCGCCGGGGACTGCCCGGGGGGCCGACGGGGATCGGGCCTGGCGCGCAGCACCCCGGTCCGATCCCCGCCGTGCCGCTGGGCTGTCCCGGACGCCTCACCGCCAGCCGCGCGCAGGGCCTCCCGGGGCCACAGGGCGCCGCCCAGGGCCCCCTCGCATTGCCGTCTCGCGGGCCCGGCCCTGTCCCCCCGACCTCCCAGGTCACGCTCGGGCGGCCAGCGGAGCCCCGGAACATGAGTCACGACGGCGTCGTCTTGACCATTGTTCTGGGCCTCGGCCGGGACCGCCGAGAGGAGCACCGCAGGCCCCGGAAAGGGGGGGGGCCAGGAGAGGGGAGAGGGAGGGGAAGAGGGGGGGCAGGGAGAGGGAGGGAGAAGAGGGGGGCACGGGAACAGGGGGGGGGAGGGTGGGGCACCACGGGCCAAGGGGGGGCGGGCCAGGGTAAGGGCCTGGGGCCTGGGGACAAGGGCTCCTTTATTATACCTCGGACGGAGGCCCTTGCCAGCCTCCTGCTCCTCCTCCTCCTCCTCCTCCTCCTCCTCCTCCTCCTCCTCCTCCTCCTCCTCCTCCTCCCTCCCCTCCTCCTGCTCCTCCTGCTCCTGCTCGCTCCTCCTCCTCCTCCTCCTCCTCTTCCTCCTCCTCCTCCTCCTCCTCCTCCTCCTCCTCCTCCTCCTCCTCGCCCTTGCCATTGTCCCGCCTCCTGCGCTCCTCGCCCTCGGCCCCCTGCCAATCCCCCCCACCCCCCGCCCACTTCCTCGAACGAACGCGGGCGGGCGCGAGAGATCTCCCATGCCGCCTGCGGTATTCCTCCTCGTCCGCCTCGTCCTCCTCCTCATAGTGATCCTCCTCAGACGGGGGACCTCTGGGAAGCTTCCCGTCGCCACGGCTGAATTCCCACCGGACTTCTGGGCAGAAAACAAAGGAAAGCATGTTCGGGGGCAGTTTCGAAGGTGGAGGAGGGAGGGGGAGGCGAGAGGAAGTGAGGCGCTTCTGTCAAGACCCGACCTGTCATGCTGGGCCGCTCCGAGGATGTCCCAACCGTACACGGCCAGCACCAGGCAGCACGAGAAGAAGGGGCTCCGCCCGACATTGGCCATGTCCGCCGAAGGGCATGCGGACGCCGGACGTAGGCACGTGACGGCTCACTGCCACTGCCACCACGCCCGCCACGCCCGCAGCCGGCACCAGGGCGGGGACAGCTTGCTCGCTTGACGCATCGCTCGTTTCCGACGGTGCTCGCTACAAAACGAGATGGCGTCTTCTTGGTGCTTGCCCTGGGGCGGCTACTAAAATAAAATCGAATCACGAACCCGGCAGAGACAAAAGCGCGAGGCATGGAAACGGTTCAGGACACCTGGCTTGGGCGATGTGCAAGGGCAATGTTGAAGACATCGATGGTGATGATACCGTGAAAGTGGCGGTGCTGCTCTGCACTATGCTGTGCGTGCTATATTGAGCAGTTACCTGTCGTGGTGTGTTGAACTGTGCTGTGCTCGATTGCGTTGCGGGCAAGGTCGCCCTTGGCGTCCGAATCCTGACCGAGCTGATCTGCATCTTAGACTCGAACTTCCCGATCTGATTCAGTTCCGAAACGGGACGACCCGAGAGGGACCGAACGGACGCGTCACGGGACTTGCCAGGGGCGCGCCAGAGGATGCGCCAGGGAACTTGCCGTGGGACGTGCCAGGGGACGTCTCGAGAGACGTGCCGTGGACGTGGCAGATACGTGCCACGGGGCGTGCCAGGGGACGCGCCAGGGGACGAGAAGGGACCATTCCAGGGGACGTGCCAGTGGACGCGCCAGCGGACGTGACAGGGGACGCACCATGGAACGTGCAGGGAACGCGCCAAAAGACGAGCCAGGGGACGCGCCAGGGGACGTGCCAGGGGACATGCCACCGGATGCGCCAGTGAACGTGCCGTGGACGCAACAGGGGACGTACCAAGGGGAGCGCCAAGGGACGTACCATGGGATGCGCCACGGAACGTGTCAGGAGACGCGCCAGAAGACGAGCCAGGGGACGCGCTGCGGGGCGGATCAAGGGACGTGTCAGAGAACGTGCCGCGCGATGTGCCAGGGACTCGCCACGCCAGTGCACGCGCAGGGGGACATACCAAGGGACGTGACAGGGGACGCGCACAGAAACGCGCCAAGGGACGTGACATGGGAGGCGACACGAGACGTACCGCACAACGCGCAAGAAGACATGCAAGGGGACGCGCTAATTGACGTGACAGTGGACATGCCAGAGGACGCGCAGCAGACATGCCAGGGGATGCGCCAAAAGACAGACTGGGAAATGCGCCAGAGGACGAGACAGAGGGCGACCCACCGTGCTGTGTAAGTCCCCCCCCCAGCCACCTAAAACCCCCAATCGCCCTCCCCGGAGGGATCCTGGGATTATTGCCCCCCGCGATCCCGCATAGATTGCTCTGGGTCCGCGCTCCCGACGCCACTATCCTTTGCAGATCACGCGGGACCCGCACTCCCAGCGCCACTGCCTCTCGTACATCACGCTCGGTCCGCGCGCCCAGAGCCACGCTCGATCGTAAACTCAGCCGGTTCCGCGCGATGCCTCCAACTTTTACTGGATCGGTGCTCCCAGGGCCACGATCCCAAGCAAATGATGGCGAATCCGCCCTCCCGAGGTCACGACCCCTTGTCAGAGTGACGGGGCCGAACGGTCATGCATTGTCCCTGGGTGCGTGGCTGAGGCTGAATAGGGAATTCGTGGTGAGAATTATGATTGTTGCGTTGTTGTTGTTGTTGATGATGTTGTTATTGCTGCTGATGCTGCTGCTGCTGCTGCTGTTGTTGTTGTTGTTGTTGTTGTTGGTGGTGGTGGTGGTGGTGGTGGTGGTGGTGGTGGTGGTGGTGGTGGTGGTGGTGGTGGTGGTGGTGGTGGTGATGGTGGTGGTGGGGGTGGTGGTGGTGGTGTTGGAGGTGGTGTTGTCGTCGTCGTCGTCCCACCGGCGACCCACCCGCGACCCACCCCGCGACCCACCTGCGACCCACCCCGCGACCCACCCCGCGACCCACCCTGCGACCCACCTGTGACCCACCCGCGACCCACCCGCGACCCACCTCGCGACCCACCCGCGACCCACCCCGCGACCCATCCGCGACCCAGCCGCTACCCACCCCGCGTCCCACCCGCGACCCACCCCGCGACCCACCCTGAAGGGAGGAAAAACCACCCGGACCGACATTTGACGTTTACTAAACGGCCCTGGGCGTTTACTGAACAGCCCTGCCCTGTTCGATTCATTCCTTGTGTGCGTTTACTAAACAGCGTCGCTTGGCGGGGTGATTTATTATGAGATGAATTAATTTCTGCTCGCAGTGAGTTGTCCACTCCACTGCTCGCGCAAACATCCCACCCACCCACCCGCAACTTTGCAAAATCTCGTAAGACCGTGAAGGTGGGTACCAAATGGCACTTCGCAACGACAGCGACGCCGACGACGACAGCGACAACGACGACGACGACGCCGCCGACAACGACTATGACGACGACGACGACGACGACGACGACGTCTCCAACGACTTCGACGACGCCGACAACGACGACGACGACGACGACGACGACGACGACGACGACGACGACGACACCGACGACGACGACAACGACGACGCCGACGCCGACGACGACGACGACGACGATGACAACGACGACGACGACGATGACGACGCCGACGACGACGACAACGACGACACCGACGACGACGACGTCACGACGCCGACGACGACGACGCGACGACGACAACGACGACGGCGGCGACGACGACGACGCCGACGTCGACGACGACGACGACGACGCGACGCCGACGCCGACGACCACGACGACGAAGACGACGACGACGTCGCCAACGAAGACGACGACGAGGGAGGAGGGAGACGACGACGGCGACAACAACGACGACAACGACGACAACGACGAGGGAGGAGGGAGGACGGCGACGACGCGAACGACGAAGAAGGAGGAAGGACGGCGACACCGACGACGACAACGACGAGGGAGGAGGGAAGACGACGACGACGAACGACGACGACGACGACGGCGACGAAATAGGAGGGACGACGACGAGACGCCGACGACGGACGACGACGACGACGAGGGAGGAGGAGGAAGGACGACCACGGCGACAGCGACGACGGAAACGACCACGACGCCAAAGAGGACGACGACGACGAACACGAGGAAAGACAGAGGACGACGTAGGCGACGACGACGACGACGACGCGGGAGGAGGGAGGACGGCGACGACGACGACGACGACGACGACGACGACGACGCAAGAGCTCGCGCGCACGCTTCTGTTGAAAATCCGTGTTGCGAAACCTTGTGGTTTTGTAGGTTTTTTGGACACGCGATTTTGAAGTCCTTCCGAATACGATGGGTTTGCGCGACGACGTGCGCGTCGCCACTTCGTCGCATTTTTTGCAGAGGGTTCTCGCGACGGCACACGCACAAGGGCGTTCGACAGATTTCGACATGCGCGCGCGAAGCCCGTTTGGTAGCATTTGGTGAAAATCTTGAAAAAAAACCATGGTTTTCTTAAGATTTCGCAAGAGCTCGCGCGTAGGCGTTTTTAGCAAATCAGTGTTGCGAAACCCTGTGGTTTTCCCAACCATCCTGTGGTGTTGGGTCCTCGTTTTGAAGAGACGGTGGCCCGCGTCTCCTCTCCTCCGCTCCTCCTCCGCCTCCTCTCCCCTCCTCTCCTCTCCTCCTCCTCCCCCTCCTCCTCCCTCCTCCCCTTCTTCCCTGCGTTTCACCCACCCAGTACAGCGCTTCGTAGCCCCATAGGAGCTCCACCGAAGGCCCCAGTACCCGCGCCCGCATGCGTCACCCACACCCATTTCGGCACACCCCTCACACGCTTCGTGGCTCCATAGGGAGCTCCACCGAAGGCCCCAGTGCCCGCGCCCGCATGCGTCACCCACACCCATTTCGGCACACCCCTCACACGTTTCGTGGCTCCATAGGGAGCTCCACCGAAGGCCCCAGTGCCCGCGCCCGCATGCGTCACCCACACCATTTCGGCACACCCCTCACACGTTCGTGGCTCCATAGGGAGCTCCACCGAAGGCCCCAGTGCCCGCGCCCGCATGCGTCAC